ATCTGAATTTCAAGAAAAGTCAGAAGGAGTTAGTGATCTAGAGGAGAAAAGGAGTCAAACAGAGAAATTTGGGAGAGAAAGGAGCTCACTGACCCAGAGACCTTCTCTCTAAAACTTCTCTCTAAAAACTCCAAAACTCCTGAAGGCCCCCAACCCCCTATTTATAGACTTTCGGATTGGCCCAGAACGGCCCGTACCGAGTTCGGAACGGCCCGTTCCGAACTCCCAAATCACGCACAAAATTCACGCCCAGAACGGCCGGTTCTGAAATCAGAACGGCCCGTTCCGGGACTCATCCAGAACGGCCCGTTCTCCCTCCAGAACGGTCCGTTCTCCCTCCAGAACGGTCCGTTCTCCTTCCCAAAACGGCCCGTTCTCAACTACAATATGTAGTTCAATTCAGTAGCTTGGAACGGCCCGTTCCAGTTTGGGAACGGCCCGTTCTGGGCTACTGAATCAGCTTTTTTTTATTTTTTTTAACAATGTTACAATAATGATAATAACACATGCAATGATTAGTGACAATGCTAGTAATTGTCAAGATCTCATAAGACATAAATTTTTAGATTTGGTGTCAAATTAAAATTTGATACCTTGTTGTTATTTGATCCTATCCCATATTTATTTAGTGTCAATAGAACTCAAAATTTTCATTTTTAAATACTTGAAATTAACCCTTAAAATTGATGATAACAAACTCATTTAAAATTATCAGCTTGTTAATATATTGGTTACTTTCATTAATTTATATGAATAAAAAATATAAACTAAAACAACATATGTGAAGGATCAAGACCAAATTATACATCTATTTAATTAAAAAGTTTAAAAATAAAAGGAGAAATTGTATGTGCGAATTTGTTATAGTATAATTGTTTATAGAATGAAAGAGATACAAGAGAGATGTAAAAGATAAGTTAGTTAAAGTGATAAAGGGAGATTGAAACAACAAAATAATGTTATAAAAAGTGTCACAATACAATATAATATATATATATATATATATATATATCTTATAAAAATTGTTGATAAAGTTCCCCTTCTCGTACCATTTAAAGATTGATGTGCATTCCAATGTGATGTGCGCTCCTGGATTCAGTTACATTCAAAGTAACCATTACTAGTCACTGACATTGTTCTGATTTTGAGAGTCCAATTATATTTGTTTTCTTTCTAAAACCATATTTTGTCCCTTGTTTCTGGCCCACATAATACCTTATTCCTGAATCTCTTCATTTTCTTTATTCTTTTTTCACTAGTTAATACTATTCATATTCCAATGAATCTTCATATATAGCTGTCTAATTATTTAAACTTTGCAACCGGTTGCTTTTGGCTTCTAATTTTGTGACATCAATTTCCAGGAAAAACAGACAAAGCAACAAATCCTATTGCTGCAGCACTGAGAATCATATGAAGTGTTTCTTTCAGACTTTGAAGCAACATATTGAACTGAAAGTTGTGTTGAACTTAAACAAGAGTGTAGATCATGTCTGAAGAACCACTGAATATTGTGGTGATCCACTATGTATCAAGAGACTTTAATACAAGTGCAATTAAAATGGCCATGCAGGGATTTTCACTTGAGCATGGAGACAAGCTTACATTTGTTGTAATTCTTCGGCCTGTTAGTAGTCCCACTAGGATTCCCTTCATTGCACCTGCCAGATTGCGTGAGTGTCTCATGCTTTGTTCTTTTCCTTCCTGATAATTCATTTTCATGTTGTGTATTATCATTTTGTGACATCCAAGGTCTTAAAAACAGTCTATGACTGCGATTTTGGCCGCAGCATAAAGACTAGAGGGGTCTTTGTGGCCCCATCAACTGCATTTGTCTACAATTTTCCACAACATCAAGGATCGATGAAACCATGTCCGCATTTTAAAACCTTAGTGTCATTAATCATATCAAAAAGATCAACTTAACAATAATAGAATGCTCATGTTCCTAAGTTCTAATCGTCATTGTAATCATTTCTGCCAATCACAAATACAAAACTTAACTATGATGGGGACCATTGCTGCATAACATGTGCCATGACCTTTGTCTGTACCATACGTACCCCTTTCATATAAAGTGGCCGTGTCATAACAAAAAATGGGGTTGAGCTTTTGTAATAAGGCCTTGTTTTCTTTAATCAATTGGCTACCCCTTTTCTGATTTATAACGTTTTGTTATAGGACTATGGTTTCCTCATAAATTTCTTATGGGTACGTTGGCCTTCTTGTCTTCAGGTGGATTATTCGACACTGATCAGAAAGATGTTGAGGAAGAGGTTGCCAAGAAGAAAGAAGAGCTTCTTAATAATGCAAGCATCAGGGAAATCTCTGAGCAGTGTGAAGCAGACAAGGTTAGACATTAACTTGCATCTAGAAGAGCAATCCATGCAGCAGATAATTCCTCGTTATTTTTATAAACATTGTGGAATAGGTGGCCTGAATAATGTCATAGTCTATTTATCACAAGGGTATTCAATAGTAAAATCACAGTAGATTATATGATATTTTAGGCGTCTAGATCTTGATAATTTTTCTATTTTTATGAATGAACTTACTTAGATCCAATTCCGGATAGAAGTGATTCATGGCAATTTACCAGAGGTTGCTGTAAATGCCGCCATACGTTTGGATCCAACATCAGTGGTACTTGATAGGTCAGTCACACTTTTTCAAACTTCATTTCTACTGTCTTTATGTCCCAATTTGATGGGGGGAAAAAGTAACCACAAAAAGAGGAGTTCATGATTGTGAAAGTATTTTACGCAAGAAACTATTCAACTCCCCATTATTTTGTTACTTTCAAAAGTACAGTGTTTTTTTGGTTCCATATAATTCTTAAGGTCATTTATGCTGTTGAGGTCAAAACCATACAAGTATCATCCCTAAACAGGTCAAGTATTTTGGAAAATTGTTTGTGTCGCATAAATGTGATCAATTTTAGTGCTTCTTGCAAAATGTAAAAAATGTCACAAAACATCGAAAAAATAAAGTCCAAACTTCTTGCTTTATGTCTGACATTGTTAATGTGCAGACAGATGAAGAAATATAAGAAGGATTTCAAGCGGAGTCTCTCTTGTGCTTTGCTAATAATGAAACGTGACAACTCTATGCAACACTTGAGAGGACCAAGGGAAACACATCTGTGTGCTAGAAACAACGGCAATGCAAGTTGTGGAAGATGTAAGGAACTGAACCAATATAGCTTATCTTGATATCCTTGAATTCCCATTATGTATTAATGGTGTCCTTTTAGTAGTCATTTCTCACCCATGTTTTCATAAAATCTTGATAGATATAGAACTTCAGAGTCATAACACATTATTCAATTTCATGATTAGGGATGGCAATGGGGCCCCATGGGGGCGGATAATAGTAAACCCGCCCCCGCCCCGCTGAATGAATATTGGCCCCATACCCACCCCATATCCGCGCGGGTATCCATTAAGCGGGTATCCATGAATTTCTTGAATACCTACGGATATCCAAGGATATCCATGGATATTTATAAAATTTTTAAGAAATTAAAAAAAATTATATTACAAATAATTTTAAGTTTATATTTTAATGACATTGAAATATTAAAAATAAAAATTCAATGTTAATGTTGAACTTTTATTTAACATTAATTTTGTTGAAATAATAATAAAAATTCAAGATAATCAATAACTTAAAATACATCAATCTCACAAGTAAGTTAAAGTCTCATCACAAAGCTACAATAATTTAATTTCATAATTCCAAATGAAAGTAAACAACTTAAAATACATAAATTTTATTGGTACAATCAAAGCTAGAAAATTAATCAAATTACATCTAACATAATTTTATAACATGCTTAACACATGTCGGTAACTTTATCAACCTCATTTTTGTAAGAAAATAAGATGAGAGAGTGTAGTTTTAGGATTATGTGGTACAAGGATAATTAGAATATTTAAAAAATAATATTAAACGGGTACCCGCGGGTATGGATATCATCATAGCCGCCCTCGCCCCATTTATAAGCGGGTAAAAAATTATTCATCCTCATTATCCGCGGGTACCCAATTAGTCTATCCATTTATTATCCGTAGCAGATTTTATCCACAAATACCTGTGGGTGCGGGTATTTTTGTCATCCCTATTCATGATCAAAAACCAAAGGAGTAACTTCCCCTTTTTTTCAGATCTACAAGAAAGTAAACTCATTTATTTAGTTAAAAACTTATACAACCTTATTTCTTTTTGAGCGAGTCCAACATCTTTCAAATCATTTAAGGAGAGCTAAAGGATATTTGTATTTGATGCAATGGTGTATGAAGCAGGTTCTAATTCTAAATCTCCACCAACCATGTTCCAAGTGGCAAATTCAATTTTCTGCTCCAATTCCAGCTCTTCAATTCCTACTCTTGAAAAGTTTGCGATCCCCCAACTTCCTTCTCAAATGAAACAAATCGCTGAAGATAGAGAACAAGACATGGCAAGAGGGTATTGCCTATTGCCCAATCCAGATAATCAAAAGACTAATCATGCTGAATTGTATCACATAGAGACACCGATCAAACATAGCAGTAACCATGAAACATATCGGACAGTTGAAAAATTTAAAAATTCTGTTTGCTCAGTATGCAAGAACAGAAGACCGGAAATTGAAGTGATGAAAGAATTCACATACGCGGAGCTACATGAAGCCACACAGGGTTTTTCCCCAAATAACTATTTGTCAGAAGGTGGATTTGGTTCTGTCTACAAAGGGAAGCTTCAAGGAGGACTCAAGATTGCTGTTAAGCAACATAAGTGTGCAAGCCTCCAAGGAGAGAAGGAATTCAAATCTGAAGTTAATGCACTCAGCAAAGCAATACATGAGAATGTGGTCATGCTGCGTGGATCCTGTTCAGAAGGAAATCACAGGATTCTTGTGTATGAATTTGTTTGCAATGGATCACTTGACCAACATTTATCACGTAAGAGAAAATTGGTATTAGAAATAGATATTACTACGAAGTATGAAAATGAATAAAAATTGCTTCATATGATTATTACAGATAGAAGAGACTAACTCGAACTATGATGATGCAGAACACTCTCGTAAACCGCTTAGTTGGGCAGAAAGGATCAAAGTAGCTATTGGAACTGCAAAAGGCTTATTGTACTTGCATCAGAACAATATAATACACAGAGATATGAGACCTAGTAACATCCTTGTCACCCATGATTATGAAGCAATGGTAATAAAGCACAAGGACTTAGAGCATAGTAATTGCATTTGAAAATACCAGACATGCCAATGTTATAAAACATTTATGCTATTGAAACGTAGAGAACTCTTAGTGATGCATCACATTACTTGTATAGAATGATTGTATTTTAATTATTGACCATAGTTTTATGACTAATATATGTAATTACAACCTAGAATGAACATGAAAAATATGTTAAATAGTCAGGCTATAAAATCCTTGCATAAATTGCAAAGTTGATCAACTATATTATTGCTTCTGCTGCAACATTGAGTAATGACTTTCTGTTATCTATTTATCAGCTTGGAGATTTTGGTCTGGCCAGGACCGAACAAATGGACTCTTTATACTCCACAGATGTTGTTGGAACTATAGGTTATTTGGCACCAGAATATGCAGAATCTGGGAAAATGTCAACCAAGACAGATGTGTATTCTTTTGGTGTGGTTCTTCTTCAGCTAATAACTGGAATGAGGACCGCAGACAAACGGCTTGGCGAAAAAAGTCTTGTGGGATGGGTAACAATCTAAGTAAAACAATAATTTTTTTAATAAATATATCATACATTATTTGTTCCCTTAACCTCTATCTAAATATTATGAGTTCAATTTTAATGGATACATACATGATACATGTTTATTCTTTTCTTCTTTTTCCTTTGTTACTGTATTCAAATCCCGGAGTCCTTCCTCAGCTCTCTTGTTTTTTAATAGCATTTCATTAGATAAAGGGTCCATGAATAACCTTGCAGGTTGTGCATTGATGCATGATTGTTTTCTGTTAATTTCTTCACAATCTTTCCATGCAATGAGTATTATGTTGATACTTTAAGAGTTATGCAATCAAGGTCCTAGCATAAATACTAAATAGTGTACTACTTGCCATTGCATTATTGTTCATTCTTTCACTTCTAAAAGCAGGTATTATATCATACAATGGGGATTAAAATTGAAAGAAAAATGTAATATGGGAATGGATGGTTTTTACCAAATAAAAGCTCCTGATAAAATAAAATTTGGGATAGCCTATTGCAATTTGACTTGGCATTTCCTTACTTCATTGTAATTTGCATGTTCCTTTCAATTATTAACTTGTTACTTTCTTTCAGGCTAGGCCACTATTGAAAGAAAGGAACTATCCAGATCTAATTGATGAAAGGATGATGGATAATCATGATTGCCATCAGCTTTTTTGGATGATTCGTCTAGCAGAAAAATGTCTCAGCAGAGATCCTCAGAAGCGATTATCAATGGATACAGTAAGTCTCAATCCGTGAGTTTCTCTATGGATATGGTATCAGTTGGATACTCCATGAATACATTGAATACTCTTATTTAATCATTTTATAATTATTTGACTTTTATTTTTTAAGCATTTATGCCAACCAAGATCAAAGTATCAAATAGCCATGCCTTTGATTCATGCTCATTTTAAAAACATCAATTCTCTCTTTAGATTTCAATTTAGAGTAAAATGATTTTACACTGCCATCTAATCACCAACAATCACGTATATGTTTATTACCTTCTACAATAACAACCGTAAAAATTATACCATCAACGATTTCTAATTGACCGATAATATAACTTTTTATTTCTTTACACTAACAATCCACAGAAATTAAAGTCTTAAATTTATATTAAGTCTATGTATTGTATTATATTCATGTGGTGTCTTATGATTGTTAAAAATTTGTTGCATCTATATGTCCATTTTATATGATAAATGTGTTTGCAGGTGGTCATTGCCTTAAATCATATACTAGAAGGCAATACATGCAGTGTTGTACTGAGAGACTGTTCTCCAGCACGGTCAGATTCATCCTATGACATGTCAGACATACTTATATCAGATACCTCTCACTCTCAGGAATTAGAAGGTGAAGAAGATGGAAGCATGTATGCAGCATATGCTCCAATTTGTTTAAGACCCCCACCATCCCCTCCATTAGGAAGCACTTCATCATCAAGTACAACATCAAGCATGTTCACAGGGCTAAGTGAATCTCCTTCAGATGATTTATCCAATGATGACAATAAGGGTAAAAGGCCAAATGATCCAGGTGCCATATTTTGAACCATGATGGTCTTGTTTGAGAGTAGTTCAAAAGATAATAAGATAGCTATTCACTGAAAGTAAAAATGAAACAGTTATCAGAGTCTCCTCCTTTCAGATATAAATATGATGTCTTGTTTTGTTCATTCCATGAACATATTCCGGTCAATAATTTTTTTTTAAAATTTAAAGTTTGATTATTAGATCAGAGACTCCCTTTCTCAGATATAAATAATGTGATATAAATAATGTCTTGCTCCTTCATTCCACAAAAAAAAAAAAAAAAAAAAAAAATGTTTCCTACATAGAAATAAATTATGTATCAAGAAAAATGGTGTTATATATTTGCTTGTTTACCCTTAAGTTTCATTTTCTTACTTTTGATTTTGGCACAAGAAAATTCATTACAGATCAGGAAGTATGTATGCAATGTAGCTAAAATAATGATTTGCTTCACTAAGTTAGAACATTCTTTTCTTTTTCTTACGAAAAGAGAAAATCATTACAAATATAACCGAATGGTAAATATAAGTCAACAATCAATCTAAATAAAGTTATGGGCTTAAAATATAAAAAAAATTAATCAAAATTTATTTTTTTAAGTCTCTATTTAATTAAATCTTCATTATTTTTGTCTTTATTTTTTCATGACCGAAAAAAGTTAAGTCCTTATGCTTAACTGAATAATGTATTTTTCATGCTTCATAAAAACTGAAATTTTATACTTTAAAAAATAAAATTTTAAATAGAGAGTAAATTCAAAAAACAAATACAAGAAATAAACATATTGAACCTAAAATTATATTGCTTTTCCAAAATATATTCAATCAAATCTCTTTTAGTTAAATCAAAAGTTGTTAACTCAAGAATGTCAAGATTCAATCTCTTTAGGTACCATTTACTCCTTCCTTTAGTTTAGGTAAATTTTACTCCTTAATCAAGGATCAAAGTCGTAGCTAAAGATACCATTTTACTCTTAAAAACTGACCTAATAAAAAGGAGTTAGACCTCTTTAATAAAATAAGAAAAGTATGTTTTATTTATCATAAAGGATAGGGATGGCAAAATGAACTCGGATCTTATGGACACCCACAAAAATACTTGCATGCGGGATAGTTACGAGGCGAGTATAGACCTACAAAATTTAGTGGGTACAAGTGCGGTGCGAGTATAAGTACTATGGTGTCCAGCCCATCCTAACTTGCAATTATATATATATATATATATATATATATATATTAATTCAAACATTATTTTGAAAGAGTATTCCATTTAATTGTCAATACAAATTTTATCTAGCCACGTGTCTCATTGATATTTACCCAAATGGAGAGACTGTGCAACATGCTTGTTGCCTCTGTATTAATCTTGTGCTGAAAATTCAACTTTTTTATTTATTTAGAGATGTATTTTACGAATGGGTTAATTATATGGTATAGGATGTGCATTTCCTAAAATCTATTAATTTTATTTTGAAGTCACCGACTTTTTTCAAACCTATCCATCCAATAAGTATACAAAAACCCTAAGACTAACAAAATTATTCGATCTTTATTTATTTATTAATATAAAATATTTTATTAAGTATAATCTACATTTGTTTTACAATTTGTCACATGGGTAGTATAATTGATGAATTTGGGTTTTGTGCTTGTGTCCAAGCACAATCTTATCTCAACCACTTGCAATTATATATATATATATATATATATATATATATATATATATAAATTAATTAATATAATAATATAATTACTTAATAATAAGTTACATTATGATATTATAACTGAAATTCTTCTAGTCTTATTTTTTCTTCTTTCAATCTTGAGTTTTCATCCATCCATTGTGTCATCCCTCATTGTTTGCCTCACGTTCTGCCTTCCATCATCGTCGCTTACCACTTCCTTGTACCACCTCTATCATATGCCTCGTGTCCTTTCTTGCATCGTTATTGCTCGTGTCTCCTCCTCACATCGTTGGTTGTGTCTCCACATCTCGTCGTTGCTTGTGTCTCTACCTCGCGTCATCGGTCGGTCGCATCTCTACCTCACATCGCTAGTCGCATCTCCATCTCACGTCGCTACCTTGTGTCGCCGCCTCACCACTTTGCATCACTACCTCACTACCTTACATTCTTACATCACTAATTCGTTGGAGCTACTAATTGTTGGAAGACTCATCAGCCGCAACTTATATTACACTACATTGAAGTTGCTAATTGTTAGATTTAAAAAGGTTCCCAATGCTCACATATGTTTAATTTTAGGCTAAAAAATTATTTTGGTCCCTTATAATAATTGTTTATTTCAATTTAATCCCACTTTTATTTTTTGTTTCAATTTGGTCCCAAATAAATTAATTGGTTTCAATTTAGGACTTCCGTCCAAATTATTTAAACGGAGTTAACTATTGGCCACGTGGATGCCACGTAGATGCATAGGTGGATGCCACGTAGATGCCACGCGGATGACAATTTTTTTTGAAAACACCTTGACCCAGAACGGCCCGTTCTGAAACCAGAACGGACCGTTCTGGTTCCACACTGCTAAACATAAACGATCAATGATTATAGTTTACGGTTGTGAATCATGGAAGGAAAAAGACCCAAGGTACAAAGTATTTCAAACACTGAATTTGGTAATATTGTCAATGGAAATTAATAACTTCAATTGCTAAACAGTTAGGCTATACAGTGTATTATTAAGGACAATGTAATGTATCACTAAAGACAATGGTAGCAGATTTTATTTCATTTCAAACTGGAGTGAACCACTAACTACCAAATTGACACTATACAGTAAAAGATGAAATGACATGGTATTTTTCCTTGAAGTCATTAACGATGTACCCCAACAACAATAACCTGTTCTTGAAGAGGTAGAACCTGAAGTAAAGGAAGAAGATACACAAGACTAACATTTCATCACACAACCATATGCAGGGACAAATCTAAGTTAATTATAGTGGGGGCACTTGCCCCCACTAAAATTTTTTTCATTCTTTTTTTATATATAAAATATTAATAATTTTATAAAATATATATTATTAATTATATTTTAATTATGTTGTTATATCTAATATAATAAATATATTAATATTTTTTTATATTTTATTTTATTGTTTAATTATTTTTTATTTTGTGGTAAAATTATCTTCATTTTTAATGAAGAAAAAATTTACTTACTTCAAGAGTAAGTCTTGATAGATTTATTCTACTTAATAATTAATGTTCTATATCAAATTTTTAAAAATTTAATTGTTAAATTAAAAAGCTTTTCATGTATAGATCAAATTTATAAAAAATTTTAAAAAATTAAAAATCATATGATACTTCGTTAAATTAATTCAAATTAACATATAAAATATTTTTGTTTTAAATGAATGTAAAAATTTAGAGGACACTAAAAGAAAATAAATTAATAATTTTATTATGTTTATCCTATTAATTTTTATCATTTTATTCCTCTAATTTTAAATAAGTTACAAAAAATTATAAAGTGACACTTAAATATTTATTCAGATAGAAAGAGAAAAAGAAAAAGTTATTACTCTATTTATAAGACAATTGTATTTTATAAAAATAAGTAATTTTAAAATTTTACCATAAAAAAATATTTTTCAAAATTATTATATTTTTTAATAAAATTAATAAAGAATATTCTATTCTCAGTTTTGGAACGGGCCCAAAACGGCCTGTTCTGAGTCCAGAACGGCCCGTTCTGAGTCTAGTACGGCCCGTTCTGATGTAATGGTTGTGTGTTAGTTTTGCATCTGGAACGGCCCATTTCAGGTGCAAAATTAACACACCAATAGTGCATCCAGAACGGCCCGTTCTAGTTTCAGAACGGGCCGTTCTGGTTCTAGATGTTTTCAGAAAATTTGGCGTCCACGTGGTATCCACGTATGCATCTATGTGGCATCCACGTGGGCAAAAGTTAACTCCGTTTAAATAATTTGCACGGAAGTCCCAAATTGAAACCAATTAATTTATTTGGGACCAAATTGAAACCAAAAATAAAAGTGGGACTAAATTGAAACAAACAATTATTATAAGGGACCAAAATAGGGTTTTAGCCTTAATTTTATCTACTAATAAAAAATATTTTGTTTTATTTTAGGAAAGTTTTATAATCCAACTTTAACAAAGGTAATGGAATAGAACTATAGAATGTTTAATTTTTTCCCAAGTCTTGGAGAATATTTTTAACACATGATCATGATGTTGGAAGTTTAATTACTACTTTTATAATGTTGATTTTTTTTGAAATTTATTTAAAGGATTGAATGTTTTGTAACCTTTATTTATAAAAATTGTTATGTTAGATTTTTTTAATGTTAAAGGCCTGACAAATTAATATTATATTTTCTTGTATGAAATGTTATCTCTTTATTGATTTATTTACTTTATACATAAGTAAAATGCAGGTTGCTGGTACAGGTATGAGTAGACAAGTACCTAGAGAGTATGGGGATGAGGATTAAAATTGCTACTTGTGCGGGTATGGGATTGGATACGAGTATTATTTTCAAACACGAGTGTTGCAATATGTACTATAGAATACTACCAGACCCTACCATTACTGTAGACACTAGTTTCTTTCAGGGATGAGAATCCAAAGATGTGAAGCTTCTAAAAGTGACCTTCAGAGGACCTTGAAGACTCCGGGATACTTCAAAAGGAAGCAAGGCATCCCTAGAAGGCATCCCAAGGAGCCAAACAACAAAGGAATCAAGCCTCAGACCCATGAGAATGGGCATACTCATGGTTTCTGAGAACGGTCGTTCTCATGAAGAGTATGGTTGCTCCAAGACACAAATTTACACCTAAAATTAGGTTGAAAATGGTCATTCCAAAGGGAGAACAGTCGTTCCAACCTTCTGAGGCCTATTTAAGGAGGTCAACTCCCCTCCCTCACACAGACACTCCAATTTCTCGAAATTGGGACTCTCTCTCTCTTTTGACTCTCTTTAGGTTACTCCGAGTAAAATAGACTCGTCGTAGTTCCTGATTATGAAATTCTTGGATCATTGCTAGGGATTTTAGAGTTTTTATTGGTTAAAAATTGTCGAGAGGAAGTGAGGTTATTATAGAGCAAGGAGGCTGCCACAAAGCACCTTCATTTTCTTTCTATAAATCTTGCTTCGAAGGCTCCAATCTC